TTCATAGAAACTGAATTTCCTTTTAATTCACTAGCCACTGCTGTAGACAGACCCGATTCTCACACTTTAGATACCTGGTCACCATTGCATTTTGTTTTACCAATGTCTGCAGGTCTTGACAGTATTGGGCAACCAGATTCTGTAAACTCTGATTCCTCGGCTTCTCCTCCGCTAGTCCAGCAGCAATCTGTTCACAGTAATATCTCAGCTTCTGATTCAGGTACTGCCAATTCTACTTCCTCGAATTCATTACCTTCTCAAAGTGATAGTGTGAACGGCTTGCCTTTAGCATCAAATCCCAATCCGAATGTCCATCCAATGGTGACCCGTAGTAAAAATCAAATTCGAAAGCCAATTAATAGACTGTGTCTGTCCACTGAAGTTCAATCAGATTCTCAATTTGTTCCCAAGACTGTTGCCCAGGCACTGAAGGATCCAAAGTGGCGATCTGCCATGGAAGAGGAATATAAAGCTCTCATGCAGCAGAAAACATGGAGTTTGGTTCCTTTGGAAAAAGCGACTAATGTTGTTAGCTGTAAATGGTTGTTTCGCATCAAGCATGATTCCCGAGGAACTCCAGTTCGATATAAGGCACGTTTGGTGGCAAGAGGATTCACTCAAAGACCAGGTCTTGATTTTGATCAGACCTTCTCTCCTGTTGCAAAACATCCCACTGTTCGGGTCATACTATCCATTGCTGTTAGTAAGAATTGGCCTCTCCGACAGGTGGATGTCAATAATGCCTTCCTGCATGGCAAATTAAGTGAAACTGTATTTATGGAGCAGCCACCTGGTTTTGTTCAACATACCAATTCCAAATTTGTGTGTAAATTGGAGAAATCTCTCTATGGACTAAAACAGGCTCCGAGGGTGTGGTACTGTGCTTTAACATCATTTCTGTTAGCTGCTGGTTTTCATCAATCTAAATCCGATTCTTGTCTCTTTATATATCATCGACATGGAACTGTGCTTTACTTGCTCGTTTACGTTGATGATATAATTGTAACTGGGAATAATGCTAAGAGTATTGAAGCATTCATAATTCAATTGGGTAAGGCATTTTCCATTAAAGATTTGGGGAACCTTCACTATTTTCTGGGTGTTGAAGTCAAGAGAACAACTACAGGACTGTTTCTCTCATAACAGAATTATATACGTGATTTATTAGAGAAAGCTTAAATGCATGAGGCGAAATCTGCATCTACCCCAATGTCTTCGACCATGACTCTCAGTTCTACAGACTCTGCTTATTTACAGGATGCTACTGCATATCGAGCGTTAATAGGCAGCCTTCAATACCTATTGCTTACAAGACCGGATGTGGCATATGTTGTTAATAAACTAGCGAGCGTTAATAGGCAGCCCTTTCAATCCTATTGCTACAAGACCGGATGTGGCATAGGTTTTAATAAACTAAGCGCATACATTCTATATCTCTTATATCTCAACTAATCTAATCTTCTTCATATATAATTCTGGCGGGGTATTTGGGTTGGGTCTTTTGATTTTGGGTTGAATCTTCGTAGCCAAACTAATGTTGATTTAACATGCCTTCCCTGATTCGCGGATTGGGCGGGCATCAAGTATGATAGAGGACACTCTACTAGTGGGCCTATAAATTTTGTCTAGGGAAAAACGCCAGTAGCCTGGGTCGTCCAAGAAGTCTATATATATATCTGTTTGTCTATATATATTATGCTTCCACCGAAGCTGGAAATAATAGATCAGTAAGCCTCTACAGTAGCTGATTTTAGTATGGTTCCGAAATTTATAGATGAAATGGTATGTCCCAAAGAACCCAAATCTCCGGTGGATCTACTGCGACAATTTGGAGCTACGTATTTTTCTATCTATATATCTCTGTTATTCACTCCCGCATGAAAGCACATAGGCAATCGATTACCATTGTCTAGTCTTACTAAGTGCAAATATATGATTACTCTTCTGTATATCTCTATCTCTATAGTCTATATATGTATCTCTATATCTGTCTTGTATTATTATATCTCATGTCTCTATATCTATCTATTTCAGTCAATTTAAGAATACCAAGAATTGGGTGTACTGGGTCGGAACACCATCTTGGGCGGGGCGTATTAGATAAGATAACAACGTAGACCTTTCTATTATGCTATCTATTATGAAAGATAACAACGTAGACCTATTCAAGCCTATTCTGTTGTATTTAGATGTATACAAGTTCCTTGTTTCAAGGATTAGATGAGTCTGAATACATGTATTTAACACACACTTGTATGTGAATACAATTACCACTTCTTCCAAACTTATAGTTAGTACCGTCGAATAAATCCTACAATAATTAATTTTACTGAATAAACTCTAAATTGGATGCATTAAGAGAGTATAAAAAAATTGTGTATTAATTTTACTGTTAGAATGCCTTCTAATAAACTTAAAAGAAACTAACGAAAACTGAGTAGCTAGATAAGAAACATTGTGTATTAAGCGTTGAATACAAACCAAAGGAGAACACGTCTAGAATAAAACCATCATGTTTTTCTTATTTAAAAAGTGAATCATGTTAATGCCAGTTGATTCAATTGCATCCATTTTGAAAAATATAATATTTTACTCTAATTTAAAAATCAAGAAGTAATTATATCCAATAATAAAAATTAGAGAATAATAATAATAATATTTTATTATTTCTCTACTATAGCTCTCCCTTTCCTCAGTGAAAAACTATTGCCAACGAGGACACAACCACGACCTTTACCGTTTCTGTTTATTATAGTTGTTTGTTTTTAGTTCATTAAAAAACATGAAGCAATTGAGCCTTATTTCTTTTTTTTTTTTAAATTTGTAAATTAAGTAAAAATATTATATTATTTGTAACTAGAGTATAATTATAAAATATTATCTCCGTTCCATGACGAAGGTTATTTAATGTAAACTTCTTTTATCTCATTTCATTGTTATTTTAAAAAATTAAGAAAGCAGTAATTATTTGATCGTTCAACTAAAATTGATGCATTTTCAATTTGTACAATAATAAAATAAAAATGATCGAATTATTCTTTAATTAATTTTTAAATAATTAATATTTATTTAGTGGAGACACCAAAAATTAAGGGTAAATATTGAAAAAGATAATTACCACTTGGCTTTTAAAGTGTTAGAGACAATGGGAAAACGATTTCATTTTAACCGAACAGGGAGTATTTTTTTGTATCTCCATTAAGTACTTTTAATTTTATCTTTTTTTTTTTTTTTTTTTTGGTTGGTTGTAAGAAGTTGAGCTTTTATCCCATTATTTTTAAAACTTTTTTTTTTTTTTTTTTTTTTTTGGAACATAAAGAGATGAAAAAAAAGACTAGCTAAACACTACTCTAGCGTGCCCCACACCAGCAGCATCCTGGGAAAGAAAGGGAATAATGCATGCTAGCGGATTATGGATCCCCTGCAAGCCTTGAGAAACAGTAGCTGCACTCTTGGCAAGGTAGTCAGCTGAGGCATTGTCTTCTCTAGAGATGTACCAGCCCTCATCTGCAGGTATGAACGAAGAGCATTTTCAACTTGTGAACCAGTGTACGTAAGTGCACTGGAGGATCCCTTATTCCTTTGCACAGCTGGATACCTTCAATGCTATCACTCTTAATCTGGATATGGAGAAATGAATGTCTAATAGCAAGCTGAATACCATGATACATAGCCCATAACTCAGCTCCCAAATCTGAGTCCTCCCAATGTTTACAACGAAACCATTCTGCCAATCTCCCAAAGAATCCCGAATGAGACCACCACTAAAACCCAGACCAGCAGCATCTGGCATCGATCCATCAATATTCAGTTTGAAGTAGCCAGCTTCTGGCGACAACCATCTGATCCAACTCTCAACCAAGGAAACAAAAGGTCATTCTGAATTGATGCTCTATCAATATCCTCCAAATATTGTTTAACAAATTGGTAAGCTTGCTAGAGAATAACATGAGCTGAGATGGACTGATCTTTAAAAGCCACATTATTCCGACACTTCCAAATGAACCAACAAGCAGTCCCAAAGAATGAATCCCAGGAAATATCTTTAAATTTCAAATGAACCAACAATTACCCTCTATATATATATATATATTGTTTTTGTTTTTTTTTTTTACCCGCTAATTGAACCATTGATCTGTCGGTTAAACCAATGAACCATCCACCCACTCCTTTGGTCGGGTCAATATCCAGGCCGAGTTTAATAACATTGGGAGATAGTACATCTTTTTTCAATTCAAATTAAAATTAAAATTATTTATTTATTTCCTCAATTCGTATATAATTACCTTAAAAAGATTCTTGTACAATTACCTTTAACCGCATTTGTATTTGGACTAATACACTATGGAAAAAGTATGTTTCCAGGATGTTATCACTCATTAGTCAATTTTATTTCAACTTAATTGGTATTAGTCAATTCAACTTTTTTTTTTTTTCACTTAATCCTTATTTCATTTACTAGTCAATTATAATTATTTTGTACTAAAATTAAGATTATTTATTAATTTCCTACATTTGTAGTTCGAGGAATATAGTGTGAAAAAAAAATTGTGTTTGCATGACTTTACTACAAATAGTCAATTTTATTCCATTTACTCCCGTCTTAGGTAAAAAATTCTATTAAGCCTTCCGTCAAGGATCGGTTGAGAGATTTTACCTTCATGAAAAAACAAGACATGGTCGCCGTCGAGCCACCGTCAGTACAGGACACGCATCATATTATTTGCACCAAACGGTCCCAACGCCGATGAGAACAACTGTTACTTAACGCCGTTAAAGATGTCTCCTCACAATCTCAAAGCCGCGTAAAAGCGGGTCCCACAGATCGCTGGTCCCAGCCCAGCAACCATTTCCTTTCTAAGCTTTATACTCCATATTTTCACTTCCAATAAATAATTTAAAAAAAAACAAGAAAAATCAGCAAATGGATCGATGAGAGTCTTAAAAAAAAAATAATCAAGTAAAAATAAATTAAAGCTCAATAATGACATTCATGTTGGTGGTGTTTTCCGTTATACAAAATTCTAATATCTTCATTCGAGATATTAAGTGTCAATATCAAAATCAAACCCATAAACAAATAAGTCCACAATTATCTTTAAAATAACAGCTGGGTTTTTTTTTCCATTTTTTCTTTTGTTTATTAGTGGGAGTTTGAATGATGGAAGAAGTTTCATACCCTTTTTCTTCTTCTCGTGGGGTCTGTTTGTTTTTTCACTGTTAAATGACAGCCTAATCACCAGCCTGGAAAGGGTTGTTATAGCTATTGTTCTCCACTAAAAAAGCTCTAAACTTGATGTGCTTTCATGGCTGCACTCATTCAATGTCAACTGGGTTTTGATCTTTGACTCGAACCCAATTAACACTTCCTTACCAGGTTCTGTCCATTCTCTCTTTCTTGTTGAGGTAAGGGTATATTTTCAGCAAAGCTTGTGTCTTTGTATTCTTTTGCATTTTTTCAGATTGCTGTAGTTTAGCTTGCATTGGGTTTTATGCAGATATACGATTGGTTGGAAATTTTTTTTTATAGATCTGCGGTTTATGAGGATATAGGTTTTTGGGTGTGAGTGATTGGGGAACTGGTTTTCTACCATTTGTTTTTTCCCCTTTTGAGGTCTTTTTGGTACAAATTTGGAGTTCCATTAACTTTTCTGGGATTCTGGTTGTTTTGGGATTTAGTCATTTAGTAGGTAGGCAGTGCCACATAGGGAGTTTGGGGGATTTGGGAAATGTTGAAGATGAAACTGTTTAGTTGGTTACCCATAGTTGTTGCTCTTCTACTATTTGAGCTTATTGGTTATTCATTTGCTGCATTTACTCCTTCTGATAACTACTTAATTGCTTGTGGTTCTTCCAAAGATGTTATCTTTCAAGGTAGAACTTTTGTTCCTGATTTAGGACATTCTTCCCTCTCATTAAAAAGTGTAAATTCTGTTCCTGCTGTAGCCAATTCTAGTTTCCCATCTCCTCTATATCAATCTGCTCGAGTCTTCTCTAGCATAGCTTCTTATAAATTTGAAATTAAGCAAGAAGGCAGGCATTGGATCCGCCTCTATTTTTACCCTGTTCCAAACTCAGATCAAAACTTGACATCTGCTTCAATTACTGTAGTCACGGATGATTTTGTGCTCCTGAATAATTTCACGTTCAAGAACTATAAAGGTTCTTATATGTTCAAGGAGTATGCAGTCAATGTGACATCTGATACATTGACTCTTTACTTCATTCCTTCAAACAATTCCGTCACTTTTGTTAATGCAATTGAAGTTGTTTCTATCCCTGATGGAATCTTCCCTGATCAAGCATTTACCGTGAATCCACGTGGTCCTTTTGGTGGTCTTTCTGGACTTGCTTTTGAAACTGTTTATCGGTTAAACATGGGGGGTCCTTTGGTCACAGCGCAAAATGATACACTTGGAAGAATTTGGGAGAATGATGCCAAATATCTCCATGTGAACGGCTCTGCTGTGAATGTTTCAGCTAGCCCTGCATCCATAAAGTATCCAGCTTCTGTCACACCTGAAACGGCACCAAATGTGGTTTATGCCACTGCTGAAGCCATGGGAAATGCAAATGTTCCCAACATGAACTTCAACATAACTTGGGAATTTTCTGTCAATCCGAACTTCTCTTATTTTGTTCGGGTGCATTTCTGTGATATTGTTAGCAAAGCTCTAAACAATCTTGTGTTCAATCTCTACATAAATGATGATAGTGCCCTTGAGAGTTTTGACCTCTCATCTTTTACCAATGATCTAAGTGTACCCTATTATAGAGACTTTATCTCTAACTCGTCTCTGGAATCAGATACTTTGACTGTCAGTGTTGGCCCAGATGTGCAATCAGACTTCCCGAATGCAACTATGAATGGGTTGGAAATTATAAAGATTAACAATGAAGCTAAAAGCTTGGATGGGCTTTCTTCTGTTGAGAGCCTTCTTCCTGAATCACCCTCAAAGAAAAACAAGGCAGCGATTATTATCGGTTCAGTTGTTGGAGCTGTAGCAGCATTTGCTTTAATTGGGTTCTGCTGCTGTTTCTTGGTGACGCGCAAGTCGAAGACAACTCACCAAGGCCACCCCTGGTTGCCTTTGCCTTTATATGGAAATTCTCAAACCATGACAAAAATGTCCACAACTTCTCAAAAGAGTGGAACAGCCAGCTGCATCTCATTGGCTTCCTCCAATCTTGGTAGATTTTTCACATTCCAAGAAATTCTTGATGCAACCAACAAGTTTGATGAGAACCTCCTTCTTGGGGTTGGTGGCTTTGGAAGGGTCTACAAGGGAACCCTTGAAGATGGGACCAAAGTAGCTGTAAAAAGAGGAAACCCCAGATCAGAACAAGGTCTTGCTGAATTCCGAACTGAGATTGAAATGCTATCGAAGCTTCGTCATCGCCACCTTGTCTCTCTTATTGGTTATTGTGATGAACGATCAGAAATGATTCTTGTTTATGAATATATGGCTAATGGACCTCTAAGGAGCCATCTGTATGGAACAGATCTACCACCATTATCATGGAAGCAACGGCTTGAAATATGTATTGGTGCTGCTAGGGGCCTCCATTATCTTCACACGGGTGCTGCTCAGAGCATTATTCATCGAGATGTCAAGACAACGAACATTCTTTTGGATGAGAATTTTGTAGCCAAAGTTGCGGATTTTGGCCTCTCAAAAACTGGCCCAGCTCTTGATCAGACCCATGTGAGTACTGCTGTTAAGGGTAGCTTTGGTTACCTTGATCCTGAATACTTCCGAAGGCAACAGCTAACAGAGAAATCAGATGTATATTCATTTGGGGTAGTTCTAATGGAAGTTCTCTGTACTAGACCAGCTTTGAATCCTGTTCTTCCAAGGGAGCAAGTTAATATAGCAGAGTGGGCAATGACTTGGCAAAAGAAGGGTATGTTGGACCAAATCATGGACTCCAATTTGGTGGGAAAGGTGAATCCAGCTTCCCTGAAAAAGTTTGGGGAGACAGCTGAGAAATGCTTGGCTGAGCATGGAGTTGATAGGCCATCAATGGGGGATGTCTTGTGGAATCTTGAATATGCTCTGCAGCTTGAGGAGACCTCATCTGCGCTTTTGGAACCTGAAGATAACAGCACAAACCACATTCCAGGGATTCCATTAACACCACTTGAACCATTTGATAACAGTGTAAGCATAATTGATGGAGGGAACTCTGGAACAGATGATGATGCTGAAGATGCTGCTACAAGTGCTGTATTTTCACAACTAGTAAATCCTCGTGGAAGATAGAAAGTAAAGAATTCAACCATTTTCGGTCAACAGAAATTCTATTGACTTATGACCATCTGGTCCTGGTGTAGAGAGCTCTTAGAAAAATGCCAAGGGAATGAATTAAGGTTATTTCTCGTTACATTATTCTGTTCTTTTATTTTCACATTTTCCTCCACAGTATATTTAATTTGTAATATAGTTCAATGATGGAGGTTAATTTCTCTATCAGAAGTTGCATGTAAGGCACCATATGATTCTTCGATTGTCTTTATTTTACATTCATCTGGGTCTCAGCTGCCCACGTCATTTTTTACACGGTTACCAGGTATTCAATGTACTGGGCTTATGATCTTTTTTTCACTGAATGAAAATAGAAATAAGGCATAGCTTATTGGAGTGTCTTGTGTTCTTGGCATCCATTTTTGACCTACGAGTGAGTTTCACAACAGGAAGTAACCTTGTCTACTAGTAACTTTTAGAATTACAGTAGCTGGCTCCTGCTTCTATTTCTAGGGTGTTGCAATGCTAGTTTAGTCACTTGTGAAGCTCACTCCAGCTATATAACATAGTTTGTGGAATTTCATTCCCTAAATTGTACATTGAACTAGTTGTTCTGTCTTTGAATTTTCTTTGGAAAATGAGGCGGAAATTCTTTTAGTATATTCTACAAATAATTTATTTTACACAAAATGTCCAAATTGAAGCATTTTATTGCTATTCTCATGTTTATAAGCAATAAACTGATGAAGCCATTGCCATAAGGGAGCACCTTAAGCTTTTTGAATTTCTTTTCTTTACATGATTCACCATTCAGAATTTCTTTTCTTTACATGATTCACCATTCATATCTAGCAGAAGAATGCTATTCTATATTCATGCAATGTCTCTAGTGACAGTGAAAACATTCAAGAAAGACGGTGAAAAATAGTTTAGTAATTACAAATATAAAGAACTGAAATATAAGTGTGATTGTAGAAGTAGAGAGTCCCACAATTCTCAACTACCGAAGTTGAATAATTTAAGTTTCGACTGCCTTATCTCTGTCGATAATGTGTACTTCTGGTCCAATTCTGTCTGTAGAGAGCCACAGTTAGAGACAGAAGTAATGTACTTCTGTACTTTGTCTTTTCTGCTTCTGGATTTGTGGTGTTTTTGGAATAAATCTTGTAATCCTTGCAATCAATCCAATTTTCTATAAATGATGTGAACTCCGTAGGTGTTCATTCTACCTGGAAGAACAGAGCTGCTGCCCCCAATCTTGATCGGTAGTAGTATATCAGCATTCCTTTTTGCTATCCTGACTATATTTCAGTGTTTTCAAAACTAAACCGGTCATTGAATCAGTTTGTTGATTGGTTCAACTGGTTTGACTCGATCAACAACCAGATAAAATAATATTAGTGAATGTTTAGTTGTTTTTTAGTGAAAAACATAAAAGTAAGAAATAAGTTTAAAAAATTTTCTAAAATTCATGGCAACTAAGCTTAGAAAAATGATTTCCACCATCATATGAGTGGTTGGCAATGAAATTTATTAATAAGTTTTTGTGTTGAATAGCAACTGTTTAAAGCTTATGTTTATCTGTATTGCTGTATCACATGGCTATGACTAATTTTTAAACTAGATCTTCGTATCAGAGTGATCAAACATATAGAAACTTCAAGGTCTTTTCTTTTTTTCTTTTTTCCAGTGCCCTTTTATTAACTCCAGATTAGTATTTTATTAAAATTATCTTTTCTCCACAGATAACTTTGTAACAGATGTACAAATTATTTTGTCCTTATTGGCCTTCTGATTCGTGCAGAAAAATAAAGAAACAAGAGGAAAAAACCAATTTTCTTAACTAAAATGCATAACTTCAAACACAAAAATTAAAGGCAAAAACAGATCCTGGAAAAACTTAAGTTATTCTGCGAAAATGAGAGCAGAAAACAATCTTCCAAAATATTCTGGGAAAATGGAAAATTCACATTCTTATTTCCTGCAAAATATTCCATATCCATTTTCTGAACGACTAGTGCAATCAAGCATACCATAATCCATCACCACAGCATGATCCTCTTTGTCTGAAACTTGAACTGCAGAGAAAAAACAAGAACCACATTCAGCAGAAAGCAAAGAACTTGTCCTATACTTATCTTCACCTCCAACAACAGGCATTGCTACTCCTGATTTTGCCGGGTTCTTGAAATCAGGCTGATAAGTCCTTCCAAGAACTCCTTCAACTTTCGACGACAACTTATAAAACTTAAACTGCACCTCTAAATGAGCAAAACAGTCATCAGAAGGTATCTGGTAGTTATGAATTCTGTCATCTTCTTTAGTTACAGGCACGACATTGACTGATATCTCCGTGACTTCTGGTACAGTGATTAATACACTATTCTTTAATGATGTTCTTTCCACTCTAATGTTACTTTCTTCTGATTGCCATGTTGATAAATGACCTTGTGGTATGATTAAATCTCTCCCATTATGTAAAAACTTTAAATGATCAACTTCATCATCCCATTTTTCTGCTTTAGTAGTCTCAATAGAGAAAGTATGAGAATCAAAGAGGATTCCTAGTGCTTGAATCCAAGTGTAGTCTCTAGTTCTGCCTTCTGGCCGGAGACCAATGAAACGTGCATTGATTTGTAGGTTTGTATCGGAAACTAAGCTGAAATGCTCATTGCTTTTGCCATGGAAGTAAAACACAATGCTGTCTCCACCGATAAAACGTGGGTCCAAGCAAGCTGCTCCTGGTGCATTGCAATTTGGTTTTCTATCTGTAATCACAAAACAAAATCAGGTAAGTAAAACTAAATCAGATCTTTGGCGTAGCAGCAACGGAATCGTGTCCAAAACTGTGAGGTTGCGAAGTTCCAACCCCATACAGTAACAGATTTACTATATCATATTAAAAGAAGAAAGTACAGTTTGCAGAGAAATCCAATATAATATTCTTTTTGCAGAGAAATCCAATATAATAGTCTTACTTCTGCATTCAGGCGTGCATATTGGTGATTGACAGTTCAAGTAGCAAACTTTTGAGTATGGGTTGGTTGGATAGAGATTTGGACATTCAGCTGGGCAGCTTCTCTTCTTGAGAAAACAAGGACCCTTACGGCTGCAGGCTATAGTATCAGTTGCTGCATATATTTCTGATGCAGCAGATACAAAAAGCAGCAGAATGATCAATAACCTGTTGCTGCTAGAGACTACCATAGCTTTTGTCTTTTCAATAGCCTAACTATACTTTGCATTTGCCTCTTAAGACTTGTTCTGTTTTATAGATGTAGTAGACTTCTGCAAGTGGAATTTCTTAATTCTTCTTCCATTCCCAATAAGGGAATCTAAGTTTCAGTTTCAAAACCATTATAATGTCAAACTTCACGAGGAATCCTTATACCAAAAAACAAAAGAGGAGAATTTTAAGGCGTTATATTTTTATTTTTCTTTGGATATTTTAAAAACAAACACCAATGGTTTCTTTATATATTTTTGGTACATTTGAATTAAAATTGACTATAATGGGGGAAATTTTTCTTCCTTCCACTAAAATCATCTGTCAATTGGGTGTGATCCGTTGATGAGAATGAAAGATTTTAAGTTTGAATCCTCTCACCATAAGGGTAGACTACTCGTGCTATGTAGCCCAAAATATTGTTTCAGTCCATTTAGCTTTCTAAGAATCAAAACTCTAACTAGATTTAGTATTATAATTCAGAAATCTTAGATGGAATGCTTTGGGGCCTGTAACTATGATTTTAAATTGGGGTAATAACTCTATCTGCCATTCTATGTACATCTGTAGGCGTGGCTGAAAGAGGCCTAATTAAGGGGTTCAGTGCAGTGTCTGTGCAAAATACATACAGCGAATAAAGAGCCAGATTGCACGCTTAGCCCCATGTGGTGAAAATAACACCGTTTTTTGCCCGTAAATTTCTCAGCAAGTACAATTTCCTTGTTGCTTCTTGTCCTCTACGTATGTTCCCCACATGAATTTAAGCATTAAATTTCAGTTCATTTAGCTTTCTCCAGTTTTGGGAATTTCAAGTCGTCATCAGATTATAAAAATTACAAGCAATTATGAATCTATAGACATGAGGCATTATTGTAGCCTGACGCATTGTCTAGTTGGTAGGCTTGGCCACGGTTCCGGTTCCAGATTTTTTGGAACCGGAACCGAACCGAAAAGGTCCTGTTCCGGTTCCGGTTCCGGTTCCGGTTCTGGTTCCGATCCGATTATAAAACCGACGGTTCCGATCGGTTTTCCGGCGAATCGCATAATTTTAACATTTTAAAATTTGAAAACCGGTTAATTTTAATTTTAATTTAATAAAAATTAATTTATTTAAAAATTGAGAAAACGTCAAAGCTACTTAACCGATATTGAATTTTCAAAGTTGCATGTCAAGTACCAGAAGCTGACTAGTCTTTTTTTTTTTTTTTTTTTTTTAGACTAAAAAAATTTTAAATTTTTGAAGACGGGTTAAAAAAAATTTTTATAATAAATCCAAAATTCTTTTTTGTTTTCCAAAATACCCTTAAAACTAGCTGTTATATGCCGTTTATGGCTGTGGGAGGGGTAATTAAGAGATTTCCACAACAAATTTTCAAAAAAAAAAAAAAAAATCAAATCTTGTACAAGTTACATATAAATATTTTTTAATTTCTAACTAATTTTAATTTTATTCCAAAAGAAAAGAAAAAAAAAAAAAAAAAGCAAAAGTTTGCTTTATAAATTGACGGCTAATAAGGGAACATTTCCCTCAAAAGATGGAGAATCTCATTATTTCTATCCCACACAATCACTCATTTCTCATTTAATTTCAAAAAAAAAAAAATAAAATAAAATCTCACAGTTACAACGTCTAGAACCGCCGGTTCGAACCGGTTCGAACCTGCGGTTCTAACCGGCCGGAAAATCGGCGGTTCCAATCCTGTTCCGACCGGTTCTCTGGAACCGCCGGTTCTGGTTCCTCATTTTCAGGAACTGGAACCGAACCGAAATATTTCGGTTCCGGTTCCGGTTCGTCCCGGTTCCGATTCTCACCGGTTCCGGTTACGGTTCCGGGCCGGTTCGAACCGGCGGTTACGGTTTCCCCGGGCCCGGTTTCGAAAGCGCGGCGGTCCGGTTTCCCGGAACCGTAAATTGGCCATAGCCCACTTAGTTGCCCGGTTACGGTTCCGGGCCGGTTCGAACCGGCGGTTCCGGTTCCCGGAACCGTAATTTGGCCAAGCCTACTAGTTGGTACCTACATCTCTTCTCTAAATGTTAAGTGACACACACTAGCGGGTTCAATGTAAAAAATAAAGTAACGGTACATTTCGATCAATCATATGTGATTTGATTAGTCTTTTCATTTATGTAATGAGTGAGGTCTCGAGTTCGAGTACTCTTCACCACAATAGTTTTCACCTGTTAAAGAGAGGACTACCTTATGTTATGTAATCCGCAGTATTATTTCGGCTCATTAGGCCTCACAGTGAATATAAAAAAAAGTAATAGCACATTTCTTGGGTTAAGCTGACTTAAGTATGAACTGTGGAATAGAGATTTAGTGTATTTTATTCATTAATTTTGACCAATTTCAAATTAAGGTGTAATCATGAAAAAAAAGTGAAAATTAAAAGTCTAAAGGGTTAAATTTGATTGAAGGTGCGCTTATCGGAAGACATAAAGTTCAAGATTGATTTAAATGGTTTAGCGGCTAATAAATGTATAACCTTAGTCTAATAACTTTTTTGCAATTAAAAAAAATTATAAATCGAATTTAATGGGACCAATATGAATTAAAAAAAAAAATCTAGTAGAAAATGTTAATTGTATAAAAAGTTGATTTTCGAATAAACTAATATTGCTCTTAAGTTCAACGATCAAATTGAACTTTATTCCATTTCTAAATAGCATTAGCAGCCATATCTAAAACAAAAAATTTGTAAGTTTATGTAATTAAATTTATTTGATTTTCAAATTTTTCGTACATTTTATTTGGAATTTTGTGTATTTCGATAAACCCAGTAAACTGGTTCAGTTAAAGACCTTAATAATATTAAGCTAATATGACATAATTGTAAATAATTCTTAATTATAATTTTACCGTTTTTTAATAACTAAAAATGCAACTCTTGGTATATCAATGCGCTTACATACTAAAAAAATTATTTCTTTATTACTAATTTACCCTCTTTTATAGTGATATCCTCATTTATACCAAATGTTTTTTATTAAATTGGTTTGGTGAATGACCAGGCTAACTAAATATTTCTGGTAGACAAACTCAAACACTCCTTTTTTTTCTTTTGCTGCATGTCTACAGATCCTAATATGTGCGTACTTAGAAGAGAGTTAAAATCCTGGTCAATAATAATATAGCATGAAGTGAATCTACTTACAGATTTAGACAAAATAATCTTGAATTTGAATATTATTTTCCAATAGAAATTGAAAATACACCAAATCAACTTCAAAACAACACAAAGTTGCAGAATATAAAAAAACACAAACACCTTTTTCATTTCCAACAAGGTAATTTCACAGTAACCAAAACTTGCAGCCACACCATTTCCTTATTTAACAAGTAGCCAAAGCTTCCATTATTGTTTAAATGGCAAGCCATGCACAATTTCCATAACCTTACTTCCTGCAAACAATTCCATATCCTGCAGAACCTCCATGGGTGCAATCTAAGGTGCCATAATCTGTAACCGATGAAATCTCTTTGTTTAATCCATCCTGAAGAGAGAAAATGCAAGATTCACAATCTGCAGAAAGAAGTGATTTAGTTCTGTACTTGTTTTCATCTCCTAAAACTGGCATTGCAACACCACGCTTTGCAGGATTTTCAAAATCAGGCCTGTAAGTCCTACCCAAAACTCCATCAACTTTAGTTGACAAGTTAAAGAACCTAAATTGGACCTCTAAATGGACAAAGCAGTCGTCTTCAGGTACTTGATATTTATGGACTCTGTCATCTTCTTTAGTAACAGGAACTACATTGACCAAAATCTCTACAGTATCTTTTATATTGACTATAACACTGTTTTTTCTTGATACTCTTTCTACTTTGACATCTTTTTCTGGTGAGTACCAAATGGAAAGTGGTTCTTCAGGTATGGCTAAGTTTTGACCATTGTAACTTAACTTCAAATGGTCAACTTCACTATCCCAAGTTGCTGACTTTGTTGCTTCGAGAGAAAATGAGTTAGAGTTGAAAAGAATTCCCAAGGCCTGAATCCAAGTGAAGTCTCTGGTTCTGCCTTCTGGTCTGTGGCCAGTGAAACGTCCATTGATTTGAAGATTTGAATCTGATACTAAACTGAAATGCTCGTTGCTCTTTCCATGGAAGTAGAAAACAACACCATCACCACCTCTTTCCAATGGAAGTAGAAAACACACCATCACCACCGATGAATCGGGGATCAATAACAGGCTGACCTGAAGTGTCACAACTTGCCTTTTGCGCGCTGAAAAATAATTGCTCTTTCCATGGAAGTAGAAAACAACACCATCACCACCGATGAATCGGGGATCATAACAGGCTGATCCTGAAGTGTCACAACTTGCTTTGCGCGCTGAAAATATGAAACACGTGTTTGACAATGAATAGTTAGTCACTATACACAGGGGGGCAAAGCTAAGAACTTCAATTAAGGGGGCAAACCTTTTAACATTAAAACTAATGGGGAAAAATGGTTAAGGTTGACAGAAAAAATATAGCAGGTAATGGGGTTCAACCTGCAAATGTGTCTTCGCCATTAACTGTACCAAGCATTTATTATATTTACTGGTTTAGTTGTATAATGGTTTCATATATATATATATATATATATCCTGAACTTTAGGTATTATCCTCTAGTTTGAGATAGAAATGAAAGAAATGAATAGTAGAAATTAGTTAATCTTACTCTTGCAAGAAGCCTTGCACTGTGGGTGATCACAGTTGACATAACAAACTTTAGATTTGGGGTCCTTTGGGTAAGTGCTTGGGCATTCATAAGGGCATTCTACGTACTTCCCATTGCATCGGCTTAATGGGTTGTTGCAGTGAACAGATTCTGCATTTGCTGGAATAAAACCCGTAACCAGAGCTACCAAAATAACAAATACGAAACTGCTGCTTAAGACCTTCATTTTGACTCCCTCTTTACTGATACTGATAGAAGAAAGACTAATTTTTTGATGGGAGAAGTCTTCTTCTTCTTGTGCTATATATAGGATTTTGAATTTCTTTGTTTATTTGTTTTAAATTAAAGCTTGTTACTTAATCTAAGCTTTAGCTCGTATTTGAAGTATGAACATGGGAATAGTTGGCATTTTGTTTGCAGAAGCCATTGCTTTATATACAAGGGAAGTCATAAGGTGATTACTGATGCTTGAAAAAGCAAATTTGCTACCCAAATTGGTAACTTGAGAACAT